ACTTAAGTAATTTATATATATGATCAATTCTGAATCGGTAACCTTGGAGATGGTGGCACAGGGTATATATATATATATATATATATATATATATATATATATATATATATATATATATATATATATATATATATATATACAACATTATTTGGTTAGATTAACAAATTTAATCTATAACTTGTCAGTTTATTTGGAGGCCGTGTCTTGAATTTGAGACACAACGGCATGAAGATAGTTTGATATGGAGTGCAACAACATACGTCATATGTTTTTATATTGTTGAAATGCATCAATCTGATAGAGTAAAACTTCAATTTGGTCATTTACAAGAAATACTCGACGACCCTCAGTGCCTCCAAGAACATCACAAAATGATATTGATCACATCGCATATCTACACGTATACTAAGCTTTACAACGACGAGCAATATTGTTGGTTGCAGCAAGATATCTTTACGTTGGCAGGAAACCAAATACAAGAAGAAACTAAACTACCTAAAGAGTACATGCAATGGTATCAATCACTTTCATTTAGATACACATCATACAAACAATTTCTCATTGACCCTGTCAACATCATCATGCCCCTCACACGACAAGTGGATCTCAACAACATAACCAAATCTTCCAACAACAACAACCTCATTACTCACACCATACCCAAACTCCCATTCCCTAACCCTTCCAACAACAAACTCTTAACCCCCATTATTCCCAACAACAAACTCCAACCCCATACATTTACCAACAACAAACTTCTTACACCCAATATACCCCATCTCACTCTCAATCAAATTACAACTACGAGACACAACACCAACAAACATCCCTTCGTCCAACCATGCAATTCCCACCTATCTCACCACCAAAATTTGATTCCCCCTACACCCAACATAACCTTTCAACCTCTAACATTTAACCACCCATCACCGTTTATATTCCAACTGTGTGCTAGCCAAACCCATACACACAATCCAATATCAATATTGACTTGGATCTTATATCTAATTTCACATGAGACATCCATGTCAACCAACACCCGAACATTAATGACCAAAAGTTCGATCAATCATGGACTTTGTGGATGCAACATCTGAGCATATTAGAGTGCCAATGCTGCTAGCAATTGCAAATAATATTTTAGGGCGCCAATATTCTTGGGTCAACCCGTAACATATAAGCCAAATCTGAGCAGTATTGTGATGCTGAACGTTAGATACAAAATCTTCAAGCAATGAGGTCTCGAATAGTGAGAGATGCAGTTGTATACCGTGACCATGTTCAAGCAATCAAATCTGGTTTTGCATCAACTGTTTTCACTTGTAATCAACTCATTCACCACTATTATAACCATGGTCTCTTGCAAGATGCCCACAAGTTGTTCGACGAAATGCCCCACCGAAATGTATACTCTTGGAATGCCCTTATTATGGCTTACATAAAAGCACACCACTTGACACAAGCACGGCTCATTTTTGATTCAGCCCCTCATAGAGATTTGGTTTCATATAACTCCATGTTGTCAGCTTATGTTGGTGCTGACGGACAAGAGATCGAGGCACTTGATTTGTTTAATAGAATGCAATCTGCACGTGACACAGTTGGGATTGACGAATTCACTCTCACAACCATGCTTAATCTTGCTTCCAAGCTACATGTAGTGTGTTATGGGAAGCAGATGCATTCACATATGGTGAAAACTGCAAATGATTTAAGCAAGTTTGCGTTGAGTTCTCTCATTAACATGTATTCTAAATGTGGTTTGTTTCTTGACGCGTGCAATGTGCTTAGTGGTTGTTATGAGGCGGTGGACGTGGTTTCGAAGAATGCAACGGTTGCTGCTTGTTGTAGGGAAGGAAAGATGGACATGGCTTTAAATGTCTTTTGGAGAAATTTTGAGGTTAATGATACTGTGTCATGGAATACATTGATTGCAGGATATGCCCAGAATGGCTATATGGATAAAACACTTGACTTGTTCGTTGAGATGACTGAAAGAGGTATTAGGTATGATGAACATACATTAGCAACTGTATTAAGCGCCTACTCTGGCCTAAAATATTTGAAACTTGGCAAGTGCATCCATGCGTGGGTGTTGAAAAATGACTTCTGTACAAATCAATTCATTAGCAGCGGCATCGTAGATTTATACTGTAAGTGTGGGAATATTAGGTATGCGGAGTCGGTGTATGAAGGAATTGGTATTAAAAGCCAATTTGAAGTTGCTTCACTGATTGTAGGCTATTCATCTCAAGGCAACATGACAAAAGCCCAAAGGCTTTTTGATACTCTATTGGAAAGAAATTATGTTGTCTGGACAGCTCTATGTTCCGGCTATGCCAAATCACAACAATGTGAGGAAGTCTTCAAACTTTTCAGAGAGTTTATAACTACTCAAGCTCTAATTCCTGATGCAATGATCATCATCACTGTGCTTGGTGCCTGTGCAACACAAGCCGCCCTTTGTTTGGGAAAGCAGATTCATACTTACATCTTAAGAATTAGACTTAATATGGATAAAAAAATGTTGAGTGCCATGGTTGATATGTACTCAAAATGTGGTAATATCATGTACGCCGAGAAGAGCTTCCAACTAATGACTGATAAGGATAGAGATGCAATCTTATATAATGTCATGATAGCTGGTTATGCTCATCATGGTTTTGAAAATAAAGCTATTCAACTTTTTCGGGACATGTTAAAGAAAAGTGTCGAGCCAGATGCAGTCACTTTTGTAGCGCTTCTATCTGCTTGTCGGCACCGTGGACTAGTAGAACAAGGAGAGAATTTGTTTATTTCTATGCAAGAAGATTACAATTTGTTTCCCGAGATATACCACTATGCATGTATGGTTGATATGTATGGAAGGGCTAATCAACTAGAAAAGGCAGTAGAATTCATGAGGAAGATTCCCATACAAATAGATGCAACAATTTGGGGAGCATTTCTTAATGCTTGTCAGATAAACAATAATACATCCCTTGTCAACCTGGTAGAAGAGAAACTGTTAAAAGTTGAGTCTCATGATGGGTCTCGGTATGTGCAATTGGCCAATGTCTATGCTACTGAGGGAAAGTGGGGTGAGATGGGAAGAATAAGGAAGAAAATGAGAGTGAAGGAGGCAAAAAAGATTGCTGGTTGCAGTTGGATATATGTGGAAAACGGTATTCATGCATTTACTTCTGGTGATAAAACTCATGCCAAAGCAGATGCAATATATTCAACTTTGTTCTGCTTGAATAGGGACAGAACTGAAGCAATTTCATGAAATTTGGGGGTAGTGTTCATGTAAATATATCTTGATACTCATATAGCCAATGATACTAAACATTTTCAAATAAAAACTTATTTTGCCAAGTGGGAATCATAAGTTCACCATTCGATGCAACATGCTTATGGATACCATTGCAGCACAAAATTGAATATGGTGTCCATCGGCGTTTTAGTACTATTATGAAAATGATTGGATGGCTTCACTTTTTCATGAACTCCCAAATGGAAAAGTGGTAAGAAAGTTTTGAGAAGCAGAAACTCCTATGTCTTTAAGCCAACCTAAATGTAGACACTGAATCAATGATAATAAACTGCCAAGTAGCTGACATGTCTTCCTTATTATATATAAACATTTAAACGTTTACTCATGGATATCCAATTCATGACCCATTGTAGTTTTTGTGTGGAGTAATTAGCAACTGGTATTGTAGGAATGAATGACTAACCCAATACTTTATTATACAGTATTATTGTAGATATCTTGGGAAACGTTGTAAACGGCGACATAGAACAGTAAGTTGACAAGCTGAGTTATACTTTCACTATCAGGAGGCATGCAAACCTTTATGGAGACACATATAGAAAAGCTGCCTTTTCCTTTCAAAGTGAAGGTCTGTTAGATAATAAGTTCTTGAAGGCACTGATTCAAGTCAGAAAAGGCTTCGGTCTATATGATCCACAAAGTTTCGTATTTGGTGACATGTGAACACGAAGGACCAAGACTAACACTCAGTAATTAGGAATTTATGAAAGTTTGTGGTGTATCCACCTTTAAGCAAGTTGGTGCTACTGTGAGTGATTTTGAGCATGCAAGTGGAAACATAGGAGCATGCTTTAATTCTTATTGGTGGATTTGCTTACAAGCACATTGAGAATCTAGGAGGTAGTCAGCTCCTTCATTCTTGTTGTTGGTTGATTTTATCATTTTGTTGTTCCTGCTAATTTGCTCTTGTGCTGTTCTTCTGGCCTTCTGCTGCTTGTAATCTTACATTAAGACATTCTGCAGGTATAAAGTTTCAGATACCCCCCACAATGTCAAGCCAGGAATTCTTCATCTATACATGTTTCTGAAGGGCTTGTGAAAAATACATGTTTCTGGATATATTTTGATACATTTTATTCTTACATTTGTCAGTAGTTAATAATTTAGTACTTTCTACTTGCTTCTTTATTTTAATCTAGATGGAAATGTACTGATTCCTTATCCAAAAAAATAACACGGCTCTAACTAGATTGTTAAAATTTGTAGGAGTAAGAGAAGTTTGAGAAATTTTAAGAGTAGCGGCTTATTATTTATTTTTCTTTCCACGATTCTCCCTTATTATCTTGTCATGATGTATGAGCAAAAACTTTGTATTTTCGCTGAGCAGACACAAAGTAAAACAGTGTTTAAGATTGATCAATTGGCCAAAGCAAATATTGAGGAAAAGAATATACATCCATAAAGTGACAACCAATTTAGCAATAGTAAAATACTTAAACCCAAGCTCCTAAAGTTCAGTAACAATAATGAAGTCCAGGCTAGGCTCCCAAAACTTCCAGATTGTTGCTTTCTATCCGTTGTAACATCACACTGTGCTCCATGTCCTCGCCTGGAATGTTGCCATTCTGTGTTAAATATTTTCTTACATACACGGCAGACATTTAACATTCACCAGTTATGCTTTGAGCCAGACGGATTTCCTTATGACATCCAGGCAAGTTCATGTATCATATACTAAGGCAAGTCATTCCCAAGCTAACTCCTTTGAAAGCAGGTAATGGAAAGTGAAGTCATGAGAGGTTAATTCAGTTCCTTTCCAGTTTGTTTTTGATTGAAACTCTTGGATGCTCTTCCTTTGAGACTCGGGTAGATATAGTTTAACCATCTCCACCAAATCAGATACTCCTAGACCTGCACTTTTTGCAAAGGAATCAACTATCTTTGGGAGAATTATTTTATGTTCCTTGGTTATAACAATGTTGGATTGAATATATTCTTCTTTTGCAGATTGTAGCTCCTCCAAGACTCTCTTGGACGTGTACAAACGTACCTGAGAAAGTTACAACCAATTGCAGCTGAGATTCAATGTAAGCTGTCAAAATAAGATGATTTTTCTTTTTTGTTGCCAAATACCAAGAGAAGAGGAAAACAGAAAAATGAAAGTTGATACATGTCCTTCTACAAACACAAATTCACAAATAATAACAGAAGGACCAGAGGTCTACCGCAGGATCGGAATGGCTTCCTGTGCTAAGAGCAAATAATATTGAAGGTTCTGGACGATGTACAGCATATCCTTTTCTTACATCCCTGACCTTTAGTTTTGTCTTTGAAGGAAACCACAGCCGCAGCCACTAGAAGAAAATAAAACAAAGTTCATTAAGAAAGGTGTTTGAGCAACATGATTTGATATACAAGTTTCTGGAATTTGTAGTTACTTGTCCTGGACGTGGCAATCTGCACCCCAGAATTAAGTTCTGTATCATTTCGACACTTACAGTATGACCCCCAATGTCATATGCAGCCTGAAATATCCACTAGCTTGTTTCAGCAAAAATTCATTCCTGTTAACTCTTTGAGTTTTATGAGTGATATACTTACTTTAAGTACTGAAGACATTCTCTTGACATTGTTGGCTGAAACTCCGTAAACTAATAAGGCCTGTGGAGGATAGACAACAAGAAGTTAGGGATGGTTTGTTGATTTTTGAGAAATAAGTTGCACGAGAAAAAGTAGGATAGAGATTCAGGAATTTTACATGCATTACTAAGGAATTGTGCACATTAATCCAAAAGGCCAGCTTTTCTTCGTGTTTCAGATTTCTCGGATTAATTTCTTCAAGCCTAGAAACAAGTGACCTGCAAAAGCATAGGATATGATTCATGAAGATGTTCCATCTCTTGTAGATTTGAATTAAACAACTTGGTGTAAAAGGGTAAGCAAGGTAAGATGGCTTACCTAAATCTGCGTAGCATGTACTCGACTTCTTTTAATTTCTGACTATCTGTGCGTAATTTGTGAATCCTTATCATTGAACAATAGGGTCCACTGAATTTTTTTGACCCTTTGACATGGAAAGAGTTACTGGAGTTTAAACTGAATAATGAATGGTTCTTCCATTGTGATCCCCGCTTATTACCCGGGATCTTTGAAGATACCTCCTCATAAACGGATGATGAGAACGGAATAGGGAATGAAGCATTTTTATGACAAGGAAAAGGTGACTCTGAAAGTTCACAAAATATTGCTGAGATGCATTTGATCATCTCCTCAGAAATCCAATTTGGTGTCTCTGGAACATTATCAATGAAGCTATTCCCAAGGTGTTCTGCTAGGGTAGTTGAGTTGGATTTAGCACACCGAGCTTGCTGGTGAAAAAAAATTTAGAAGCTAGATATTAGAGATCTGTAAATGACATATAAGGATGTAATGTAACAAGTTCTCTTCTGTTTTTAAATATACTTACCTCTAGCATCGATAACGGTAGAGAATGGTAAGAGTCTGCAGCTATGGTCTTCATGTTCTCAGGAGAAACATCAATTGAGCAAACTGTTTGTTGAGATAACGCAGAGTAACACCGATGAATACCAGAGTCTAAAACACCTAAATTACTTGTTGAAATGATATCACTTGAGTGTCGAACTGAAATTTCTTTGTCAGAGAAAGCACCGCTGACAGGTATTAAAGATGTTCCTTTGTTAATAATGTGTGAAGCTAATTCCAATCTTCTTTGTTCGTCAGGAATAGCATCGTTTATGTTTACTGCAGAAGTATCTTTGTTAATGTATGAAGCGAAATCCAATCTTGTTTCTTTGGTTGATAGAGATGAAATGTGTTCATCAAATCGTTTCCGATACAAAGAGAGCAGATATTGTTCCAAATACCTGACTTCTAACTCTAATATCCCAATTTCCTTAATAAGTTCCTTTGCCGCCTAAAATTTAGAGATGAATATAAATGATAGTTAGTAGCAAGAACCAGTAAACTCTAAAAAATAAGTAACTGTTTAAGAGGAAACCTTGGGTATTGAATTTTCTACTGTCGTATCCTGTGAAAATGGTCGATAACATGTTTTCTCGAATGCATGCCGCGTCACAATTTGTTGATGTAATCCTTTTTGAAGCTGTAGAATCTTCAGAGATACAAAATATATATGTAGCATGAAAAGCAACCAAATGCAAAATAAGTAAGTGTAAGAAGTGCAGCCCTATTCCATGGCTGAACAATAATCAGACAAAAAAAAATCAATCAAATTGTTTACCTCTTGAGTCAAAGAACTTTGAAGATCCATGTTGTTGTGCTGCCTCTTCTTGGATTCAATGTTTTTCTTTAGATCCCTCAGTTCCTTTTTATAAAAAAACAGAAAGAAAGAAGAAGAAAAACGAGTGAAAGTCATTCTCTTATGAAAAAAAAATATATTCATCTGTATGTGCTCAGAAATATGGAGCAAGAAGAGAAAAGCAGCGTAATACCGGTTTTGGCTGATAAGAAGATTCTCTGATATTCAAAAAATCATCTTCCATTACTCTCCATTTCATTGGATCACTGATAAACAGTTAAATTTTTTTTCAATAAAAGATAGTTAAGGTTGTATTATTAAACTTAACATTAAAGCTAAAACCAGTGATTACTAAAGTACTGATATGTATAAGTAAAGAACTGTTAACTGTTGATCCCTTGTTATGGCTCTCATGTGAAATGAAGAGCCTCTATATTGAAAGAATTCTGGATGGATATATGTTAAAGAACTATTATTTGGTTTAGAAAGAACACAAGTTGGTGAAATGAGAATAAGACAATTACTTGAAATTGAAAAACAAAAATGCTCAATTATAGTATACGAATTCGGTTCTGTCAAAAAAACCTTGTCGGAGCGCTTGTGACTAGAAATATAGAAAAAAGTTTGGCCTATATATAATTATCATGCATTTCTTGATTGCTTGAAAACTAGATTGGTGCGACATTATTTCATGCATGTTAAAGACAGAATTGGCTCAAAATAATGTCCATGAATAAACCAAAAACTACATTAAATGCTATAGAAAAAAAAGACAAGATATTGACAGTGACAATGTGAAAATAGAAGATGGATCCAAAATGCATTAATTAGTAGCAATCTGTGTTAAGAAACAGGAGAATCCCACCTCTGATGGAGTTAGACTTTTCAGACAGAGGAGTTTTGTGGATGAAAAGATGATATGAGAGCTCAGTTGTATCAACTTCAAACTCAGTAAGTGTTATTTTCAACCATAATGGTAACAGGAAAACATGAGAGTATATTTGTGTTGTATTGTAGTGCTGCTGTTGACAATCTATGAAGTTGATGAAACTTTTTTGCTTTGACTAGTCTCATAAAACTAACCTCTACCCCTTTTCAGGCCTTTGCTAAAGTTATGCTTTTTGTGTTTCATTAACACAATCTGCCCTATATATATATATATATATATATATATATATATATATATATATATATATATATATATATATATATATATATATATACAAATTAAATCTTTTTTTTAATATTAATTTTACGATAAACTACAATATAAATTTTCTTCATCTTAATTAATTTTATTGATTCTCTTATGATATTTCACAAATTTGAAAATTAATATAATTTAAAATTTATTATATAATCTTAAAGGAATTTATAGAAAATAAACGATGTACATGTATAAAAGCAGTCAATTATAGAATGGTGTTTATAATAAGAGAAAGAAGTAGTAATATATTTTAAAGTAAAGGTTGTGGATTAGAAAAGGAGAAAAAGACAAGTAACCATGAAGACTGACTGAGATTTATATTTATGGCAGATGATGCAATCAACAATCATCTATGCATGTTTAAAGGCATACAAATTTTAAATACTTTATGTGAGTGGATGTATTTTTTTGCATTGCATTAAAAGAACCAAAACCAGATTGTTTATTTTATTTTACTATAATATCTTTTTTGTCAACTTTCAAAAGTTGAGACACTCACCTTTTGTATTATGGAACAAAGTGACAAAAATAGAGAGAGTGGTGATTAGTGTACAGTAGTTTATTGGAGAATGGACCTTCATAATGCATGAAGTTTCAATCACTCGTGCATGACCAAATTCCTAGGAGTGTTTCATAAATCATTTGCTATTAGAATTTTTTTTTATTAATAGTCTAAAATATGGTTTTAACAAGTTTAATTATCTTAGAAGGTGGAACTTTTAGCTAATAGCTTTACCATCTTTAGCTTGAAAAAAAAGCTCATATTTCAATGATCAGAATTTAGTCTAAAGTCAGCAACATGTCGTGCCAAAAAATAGTTATAATAATGTACAAACAACAATATAAAAGACATGAATAATTATTACATATGTAAACTAAAGGAGATACTTTTTGTATTGCTTATTACCATGTTTTTTAATAGACAGATACTATTATTAGTACTTTACCTTATATGTTTATATATAAGTTTAGGATACATATATACTAATTAATTTTAAAAATATTTTTTTTCATAAATTAATATTATTCTATTTATTTTATAACACTTTTAATTATTAATTATTTAGTTTCATATATTTAAAAATAAAGAAGAGAGTATGTTAGAAAATTAGTGAATTATTTTAATTTCTAAAGCTTGAGTTATTTTTCAATTTTAATAGAGTTATTTTGTGGAGGTCAAAAATCCTGCTATTTTAATTTTTTTTATTGTTCACACATGTTTTGGAGTTATTTTGCAGAGTTTATCTTCACCATGGGTCAATAACCACCGCAAGAAATACCATCTTCAGTCACGTGGCTAAAAAAAGTCAGTTGCGACGTGATAATTACGTGGTAACATGTTTTATTAATAAAATAAAGAAGTATAATGGTTGTCTGAGTTTTAAAAAAAAAGTTGCAACGTGGGAATCACGTCGCTAGTAAAAATATAATATAAAATATTTTAATTGGTCTTAACGTTCAGATGGATGGGTTTTTGAAATTTTGAAAAAGTAAGTTGTGACGTAGTATTCACGTCGCAACATTTAAGAGGAAAAAAATCAAATTAATACAGACTGACATGATCAGCTTTTGCAGGCATGTGAAAAAAAAGAATATGACTGTTGGCATTGTTGCGATGTGAAAGTCACGTGGCAAAGTTGCAGCGTGATTTTCACGTTGATAAATAGTTTATATATTTAATTGCACCACGTTACACCAAGCAGACAGTATATTGTCATCAAACAATCAAACACTCTTCTTCTTCATTAACCCTCTTCTCATTCCATCCCTCCATTAACCCTCTTCTTCTTCATAAAACCTCTTCTTCTCCATTATAAAACCTCATCTTTTTCATAAAATCCAACTTCAATCTCCATTAATCCTTATTTTTTCAGGTAAGTTTAATTTAATTTTGTCTCTATTTTGTTTACAAGTTTTTATTTATTGTATAATGGGATTGTAATTTATTTTAATTTTTCTTTGAATAGAAGAAGATTGATATAGTAGAAGTAGATTGCAAAAAGGTTCGACAAGAAGATTGAAGGAGTTAGAAGATAAGATGTATTTTTTGGAATTTTTTTTTACATTTAATATATTTTCTGAATTTAGTTAGATTTTAGGTTGAAATTGGTTAAATTATGATATTGTAATTTTCATTAAATATATATCTTGATTTATTTAATTTATAAAAACAAAATAATATATAAATTTTATAAAAACAATTTTAATGTTAATATATATTTTATTTAAAACAAATATAATATAATATTTTATGTATTGATTAAAAATATATATAAAAAAAATAGTTTTTTTGTATTGAATAAAAACATATTTAAGAAACCGTTTTAATATGTATATATTTAGTAAAAACTGTTTAATGTTATTATTATAAAATCTGTTATATATATATATATATATATATATATATATATATATATATATATATATATATATATATATATATATATATATATATATATATATATATATATATATATATATATATATATATATATATATATATATATATATATATATATATATATATAATTTTATAAAAAATAGTATAATATTATAAAAAACAGCATATATTTGATGTTAATATATATTTTTAAAATAAATATAATATTATATTTTATGTAGAATGTTAATAAAAATAGTTTTATAATTAAAAAAAAATTATATAAAAACTGTATTATATGTTAATAAAAAATATTTATATATCATATATATAGAATGTTAATAAAAACTGTTTTATAATTAAAAAAATTATATAAAAACTGTATTATATGTTAATAAAAAATGATTTTATAATTAAAAAGTATTATATAAAAACTATATTATATGTCAATAAAAATTAATATAGTATGTTAAAAAATATTATATGTCAATAAAACATTATATATAGTATGTTATAAAATATTATATATAAAAAATTGGTTTATATATTTAATTATTATATATTATATGTATGTTAATAAAAACGGTTTTATAATTAAAAATTGTTTTATAAAAACTATATTATATGTCAATAAAAAATATTATATTAACTATTATATATTTAATAAACTATATTAATAATATATTTAATAGTATATAATAAAAAACATCATATATTAAAAATAGTTAAAGTAAATGTTTATGTTTAATAGTATATATTTAGGATTATTATTAAGTTGATTATTTAATATTATATGTGTAGGAGGATTATCAGGTCTTGCTTGTAGAATTTCTGATCTATAATCTTCAGTATACTCCTCCTCTGGGAAAATCGGTTCATCCAGATGTGGATTTCTATATTTTGAGTCAAGTTGTTGGCGAAAAGGGGCCTAACGGGTATTTTTTTGGTGGTGGAAATTTGGCGGGCACCTTGAGGAGTGGGGATAGAACTCTGTATCAGAGAACTGCAGACGGTGAAGGAGGGTCACGTCAAACAAATTTGACACCAGATCAGTTAGAAACGGTAAGACAATTGGCTAGACGCGAGTCCGAAGAACGTGAGGCGATATTGAAGGTCCAAATGGAGGCGGCATTGAAGGCCCAAATGGAGGCAATGAGGGGTGAACATAATAGAGAAATGAGGCAATGGCGAAGAGGCAGGCTGATATGGAGGAGCAAATGCGACAATTTATGCAAGCATTTGGTGGAAATCCCAACAATGGTGGCCAAAATAATAACCACCAAAAGAATGATGACTTTCTTCGTGACTTTTCCGACGACTCGAATGATCCTTCTGCTTAGTTTTATTTTTATTTTCTATTTAGTTTTTTATTTGTGTACTAATATAAATTTATAATCATATTTTATATTTAAAAATATTAAATTTAAATTTTAGTTTATTAATTTTATTATATTAAGTATATTAATTTATATATTTTGATATATTTAGTTTTATTTTTGATAATTTGATTTATAATATTGAATTTAATAAATAAATTATAATATTTAATTTATAAATTTAATGAAACAGAAAATAATGTTAATTATTATATCAGAATTATTATATTTAAAACAGAAAATGATTTTTTTAAAAAAAATAAGTTGCGGCGTTTTTTCCACATCACTAATTAGTG